ACATTATCCTACCCACTGAGACACCATACTGCCTTAGATGGTGTGTGGCTCAGCAGGTTAAACTTCTGCATCTATAATCAGAAGGTTGTTGGTTCAAGCCTCGGCGTAATAGCCACATGTCTGAGGGCCCTTGAGCAAGGCCCTTAACCTCCAGCTCTAGGGGTGCTGTGTGCTGGCTGATCCTGCACTGTGATCCCCCCCCCTGAGCTTGCTCATACCTGCATGTGTCGCTCATGAATTGTGAGATGGGGTAAGAGAAAATAAAATTTCCCATGGAGACTAATAAAGTATCTCTATTCTATTAAAACTAACCCACAGCCATAGTGATCCCAATAGTAATCAAAGTGTTATTATTTGAAGTCACTAAACAGTGACATACAGAACATTCAGCTTCCCACCTTTTCAGTCTCTACTGCATTTTAGCTCAACCTTCACTAATGGACCCCAGGAACTATGTAATCAGTCGTTATATTGACAATCATTCCACGCTGGTCAGCAACTTCAAACCTCTAGTCCTTTTTAGTGTTGGATCACAATCCGGTAGCTTGCTTCGATTTTACCTTCATTTCCCCATTAACAGTGAGTCGAAAACACAATTCGGGTATTTACTTCTGTGGCCCAACAGGCGGACAAGTGAAATATGAACTGAGCTTTATTGCTTGAGCTTGTTCCTTTGCTATCATTGCCCCCTATTGGTTGAAGAAGCTTCCAACAACTGTTATGATTGCAAATTCACGACACAAGACTGCTACCATGTAGACTTTAGAATGTATCTCGGATTCCCAAATTTAAATAACTACCAATGTATCTATACAGAAATCGCATTTAAATGCATTCATTTTTTTATTTTTTAAAAAAGCAACGGCATTCTGAATAATGCAAAGAACATCGGTATTTTTTGCATGTTGGCTGTTATGTAGGTCATTGCATATAGTCACAGCTGCTACCGAATTGCTGTGAAAAAGTAAATAAATTTTGATAAAGTGGATGAAATCATTAAAAAATTAAGCTATAACGTTAAACAGCTGAACTTTTAAAGACTTTTCACTGCTACTAAAAATACAGGTTAAGTGTTTGTGATTATCCACAAACGTGTGTTTAGTACTGTGCGTAATCTTGTAAAGTTGGTAATAATTCTAATTCGACAAATTCGGCATAGGCCTAGCAAGTCTTTTTCTGCGATGTTTCACGCATACATGGTTGCCAATTCTCACGCATCTGGCGTGACACGCAAGAAATCTTACGGCAGATCTATATTATTCCGTTATGAACCTAAAATAGCTACATTAAAAGAGTTGGGGTAGTTTGCAAACCCTACAGACTATTTACAAGGTAATAAAACTGTTACAATCATGTAAATGTGTGTGCAGACTTGTCTCAAATTGAAAATCTCACTTCAGCCAGCTGACCAAAGTTGGCAACCCTGCGCATAGTGTCTCTTTACTGAGATACGGATAAGCAAATATTATAGCACGGTAAAGCAAACGAAACAAACGGATATTTCATATATGTCACACACAAATAAGTAACTCTTGTACGTATGGGAAAGCACAGCGACCCATTCATTCCTCGCTCTCCCCCAAGCCAAACACGCGGCTCGCACACGGCGGCGCTGACGTCACTGCATAAGCAGGCAGCGATCGCGCGCAGCCTCGGGAGCCATGGTCCCGCTCCGAGCTGAGGTAAGGCGCAAAGAAGCGCCGACCCCGCCGCTGTCGCCGCCAACTTTTCCACGTCGGTACGGCTTGCGTTTTTCGCCGTGGTTTCGGGGTGGCCGTGGTACCGCGCTTGAGGTCCACCTTTACCGCTTGGCCGGTGCCGGGAACCGTGCGGCGCGATTCTTTTTTTCTTTTTTAGATGGGGGGGGCTCTGGTTTTCAAAGTGCCCGCCTGCCTTCCTCTATTCAAAACTCCGTGTTTTTTGTCTGTGCACTTGGCTACTGAATTTCGGGGAATTCTTACCGAAATTAGGGTGGCCACTCGAAAGAGCGATTCATGGGGCCCTGTCACATGTATAGAACATAATTTAAGTATGTGAAAATATGGAGACTGCTTCGGACATCCAGTGTCCAGGGCCCCGGTAGTATCCGGCCATGCAATTTCTGTTTCACTATCGAAATCCGAATTAATGTCACCCCAAAACAGGCTAGAGTTAATTTATGATCAGCTTGCTGGCTCGCTTGACGGACGCTCGTCGTTATTATTCGATCTTTTGAATTAAGGGCGTGTTGTGAATGATTTCGTTAGACTGTTAATGATTTCCGTGGCTGGCTGGTTGTTGCACAGTAGTTCACTTTCTACAGAAAAAGAGATGAACGTCCAGCTTTTGTCGGTGAAACCATTAGGTCACCCTGGCAGATTTGGATGTTTGTAAAAGAGTTTGTGTGCAACCCAGTGCGCCGCATCCACTGCGTTAAAACATGCCCACTTGTGCGATTTGTATTTCTGCATTCCAGTGATCTATGATTTTAAGTAGCTTATAGATAACCGTAGCAGATCCATGTCGCACCTTAGTCTAACGAGGAAATGTCACTCGTCGAAGTTATCTATCCTTGCAGAATCAGCACTGATAGCTGACACGAGTCAGGGATTTGTGTTGCCCGAAACGTGCTGTGGTAGAGCTCGATTTTTGGATTTGTGTCTGCATGTAGTTTTAAGATTGTTTCAAGATTATAAACGATACAATAGTACAGAATTTTGTGTAACGTATTTTACGTATTTTCTACATATGCAAGATATGTATAGCTGCAGGGCTCCGGCTACTCCAACCATTATCAGGACAAGCGATTGGGGGATAGATAATACTTGAAATGTTTTTCCTTTATGAAAATCGTACACTTAAAACGCAAATCTGGATCCTATATTTTGTAAATATAATGAAAATGTTTTTTTTCCTCAAACTCCTAAGACTGGCTGAATCCTCTATAGCGACATTTGTTGCTTTTCGGCTTACATGCTAAGTTTGGTCTCCTTTTCTTTTTACTTAATTGTTTTTTTTTTTTTTTAATGGGGGGGCTTGTCCCTCAACAGATGGCGCTTATGAGTCGCTAGCGACTCTATGAGACGTGTCCGTATCTTTTAGTGATCGCCAATTAAATGTACAGCGTCTAATTGGTAAATGTACTTATAGCCTGCAGTAGAGACTTTAGAAATGTAAATCAGACTGGTTACACGCTTCAAACTTTCAAGACAGGACTTGAAAGAGATAAAATGGGGCACTTGAAATTGAGCTGAGATGGTGTGTGAAATGTCCTCAATAGTGTGGTAGTTGAATTTCAAATTCCAGTAACTTCCTGAATCCAGAACCATAAGTGGCTTGTCACTAAGAACAACACACTGGTTCTCCAGCTCCGGATCAGGCCAGGCTTCACTGAACATGCTCAGCACTGCACCTGCTACAGTGGTGTAGCAGGCTGCATCACAGTGAAGTAGGCTTCACTTACATCCTGCTATCCATGTGTTTCAAAATGAGACCAGCTACGTCAGTGAGCTGTATGGCTGTGCCACTGTTTATTCACTTTCTTTTAATTTAACTGACAATTTACCTTTTAGCATTTCCAGATGTGTATTGAACTGTTTGGCCATAGAATTAATCCTTTTGGTCATTCCTGTTGTGCTATTTAAAGAAAAGAATGAGATGGATCTATTAAAATATTTGATCCCCTAAGCTCTTCCGTGTCAATTTATCATCTTCGTGTGTTAATACAATTTCTCCCTGTATTACAGTAGCAGCACTTGTGACCTCAGTAGTATTAGAACCACAAGGTTGTGTCCAAGCAGTGGAGCAGTAAAAACTTGGTTCCGCTTAAGAAAGTCTGGGTGCTGTGTCTGAATATCACCTGTGAGAATTATGTCCCGAGTGTGCAGTGAGCTTGTTGAGAAACTTGGTTGGTCAGTACTGTTGCCTTAAGGGGCATTTGATCTCCAGTCAGTGCAGTGCTGGTTACACAAGCAATAGACCCCCCCCTGTAACTGACTGTTTAAGGCTGATGATGTGTATCTTAGTGATTTTTCTAACTTTTGGAAATGCTCATACAGTGAAGGGGCCATAATATTCCATGTTTTCATTTCAAGACTTCAGTGTTTGCTTATCTTTGGATGACCTTTCATTGTCTCTCTTGGAGATTTTGACCCTTGTGATGATGCCTTTGCAGAGTGCCCTTAATTTTGTGAGCTCGTGTGACTTGGTTTTATTAGACATCTTTTACAATCTGAAGTTATAGCCTTTCGATGCTTAACTAAAGCACATGCTACTGTTCACATTTATTTACAGCTTGACAGGGTCTGCTGTTCAGGGCTTAAACATTTTGGTGTTTAACTGAATCCTGCAGTTGTCCAGCTTATCAGAGATTGTACCTTTTTATATGTCAAAAACCAGAATTAGAGCTCCTAACTCCCACTTAAATTCTATGCAGTGGGATTTAGTTTTGGGAGAATACCACTAAATTGACATTCTTGTGTTTAGGGGGCAGCGTGTGGCTTCGCAGGTTATGTCTGTGTGCCTGTGATCGGAAGGTTGTCAGTTTGAGCCCAGCTTTGGCAGAATAGTCACATCTGTGGGCCTTTCAGTGAGGCCCTCGAACCCCAGCTCTGTGGGTGCCACTGCAGGTGGCTGCCGTTCACTGCCAAGCTTGCTGTCCCCTACTTTGTGTCATGGAGAGCAAGATGGGGTAGGCAAAAAGAGGATTCCCCTACGGGGATCAATAAAGTGTCATTATTGAGGTGAGTGGCTCAGTGGGCTCAGTCCCTGTGCCTGTGATCGGCCGGTTCAAGGCCCGACCTTGGTAGAATAATCTCATGTCCTTTTGGCACTGATCATCTTAATGCTGACCTCCTCCTGGAATGTGAAATGCTGCTAAATGCTTAGCCTGACAACGTGAGTGTCTGAGGGAGGGCTAAAGTCTGCTAGAATTAAAGTGCCATTTCTATTTTCTGAGATCAGCCACACTTGGCTTCACACAATTGCTTCTGTATTCTGATATGCAAGTGATTTATATCAGTAACTACTAGCCATTGTTTGTCCACACATGCAATCTGCTACCTTTTTTCCATTCCGTATATGGAGGCTTTAGATTGATATATGGACTGCTATCTACACTATTTGCATATTAAATAAGCTCTCCTTTCTTCACTGTAATCACCATTTTAATTTTTGTAAATCATGAAATATCTCAGGCATGTGGTATGATTAGTTCCTGTTTTTTTTAAGTACCCGTTTTATTTCTGCATCCTCTTCTACAGTACAATTATGGCATTGTTCTGATTACAGGTTAACAACGAAGTACTTGACTCAGAAAACAAAGGATTCTCTCTTAATTTGCAATTTGCATTTGTCCAAAGACCAATCTACCCAGTTCACTTTGTATCACAATTTAAACAATAGAAGAAATGTACCTGAGAGTTAATAAATTGTATGATTTAATTAGGTTGAAATTTAACATGTGCATTCATTTATGTATGAACCCCTTTAAATGATGACATAACTGGTTTATTCCTTTATTAACCCTTGTAAAATATTCATACATGTGATCTCAGGTAGAGCAGCAAATTCAATAAAAACATACCCCTTTTATACAAAAAGGATGATGGGTGACTGAGCCTGGGCTTCTGAATTATATCTCTGTTCGGATCTGCACCAGTTTTAATTAGTGACTTTAATAAACCACTTTATTAAAAGTGCACTTATAAATCTTGCCCCAGCCTTCTAAAGCTGTGTTTTGCAGAGAATAACCCAGCAGGCAAGGTTTACACAGTTATAATAATATCCTATGGCTGCCATTGTGTACATAACATGCGCGAGCACACACACAGAGACCTGTACTCGTATCTTTGTGGGGACTGTCCATTCGTTTCTATGGGCAAGGCCCTAATTCCAGTAATGACAGCCTTAAACCCTACTCAGCCCTAACCTTAACCGTAAGTAACCAAAAAAAATACAAGATATTATACTGTGGGAAATTTCATAAAAAATATGGGTGACGTGCACATCTATGAAAAGTGCACTTTGATTTACCTGGTGCAGAAGTACGCATTAATGCAGTATGACCCATGAGGGTGTTCCTACTGCTGACAAGAACAACTTGTTCATAAAATGGCTGCTTCTCTTTCAACAGCAGTAGTGGTGCTAATGAGCATGCCCAGTGCTATGTCAGGGAAGATTTGTTGGAGAGCTTGGTCATGTGACCTTACTGAGCTCTCTGCTCGTGTGTAGTGCTCCCCTGTCTTCCCCAATCAATGGAAAGTCTCTGGGTAGACCAGGTGCTATTGGTAAATGGGGGAAAAGGTAAGGATAATGTTTTTATGGTCTTCCTGCTCTTGGTCTGTTCTTCCGGAGTTCATTTCAGAGGTAGGCTGTTTTGTTTCGCGTGCCTTGGTTTTTGCTTTCTACTTATTGGTTAGTCATGGATTGTATTGTTTTGGCCTCAAAATATTCCCCAGAAGATGAGTTTAACTTTGTGTTCAATTCATTATGTTCAAGAGCTTTATGTTCACAAGGTACAAAAGTAGAAACACTCTTATCTGATTTTCTTTTAATGTATTTTTTAGATATTGCTAAAAAGGCTTATGGTTGAAGACGTCTGTGACTTGTGACAGTGAAACTTATGCTTTTTGCTATTGTAGTGGCTGCTTCTAAAACGTAAAATGTCTGCAAAAATAGCAAAATAATCTTACAAACACTCTCATACTTTAAAGTCTTTAATGAGGGGAACCTCTAACTTGTTAAATTGTAGAATGCTTTCCAAATTGGTGCCTCTTATCACGAATGTACTTTGCTGTCAGAGGAAGTGGCAATTTATTATCATGGTCATGGAATCCTGTTTAGTAAAAGTTATACACCATGTTTCTAATATTCTAATATTGGAGCCTTGAGAATTTTTACTTGAGATTTTATATTTGTATGTTTCTAGTTGGGGTGATGATAAAAATTATTCTGACCCGCTTACTCATTTTACAAAGTAGTTTATGGCGGGAGTTTCACCCAGCTTTTTAATTTTTTTTTTAAATGATCAGTGTTTTACCAGGCTAGAGTTCTTCCAGCTGTGCTCTCATGCATAATGCATTAGCCTTCCTTGGTAAATGTGCTGTGACCACTGTTCTCTCCAGGTATCTGTGTGGAACACATTACATTTGCTCAGTCCTTTGTGTTTTGGGTTTTATGTTGGATGTGTATGCACTGTGCCAGTTCGGGGGTTGAGCAGGGATGAGCTGTGCTTTCAGAAAACCGTTTATTTGCATCTCTCTGTCAGGCTTGTTTGGCTCACGTTGTTATTGATCTGAACTTATAGTCATGGTAAATCTCCCATTATTTAAAATCGCTTGAATTATTGTTTTAAAATGTCAGTTATTGGTCAGGTAACTGTCCTGTGCAAAGGTAGCACATTGGTCTTAACTATGTTGCATCGTTGTGGCAAGATTTTGCAGTGTGGCCATTGAACTTAGGGCTGGGACAATTATTCGACGTAAGTGATAAGCTAAACGTATTGTAACGGAAAGTACTTTATCCCCTCGGAAGCATGTTAACGCTGTCCTTAACTATATCAATTATAGACTGAATTCCGATATAGTTTTGTCTAATATCTCCGGTGCCAGCAGTACCACACTATTTTGTAAGGCATGCATTGGCCAATCATGTAGCACTTCTCTCATAAATATTAATGAGACATCTCCTACCACCCTGCAAAAAGGAAATTTGCCGCCCCCCTGCGCACGAGGCAACATGGATGTGTCTACCAGCAGAGCTCCGGAGCCTCTGAAGAAACACGGGGCAAAAAAGGCTCACATACGGTCTTCCAAAGTTTGGGAAAACAGTTATGACACCTTTTCTGCACTTCTACTGTAGCTGACATTAATGACGCTGTTTCAGCTGTTTTATATTTTCTGTCATGTAAGAGTGAGACAAATAATTGTTTACGACTACTCTTACACACTGTAGCCTAAATCGTTCCTTGCTCACTGAAGTAAGCTTAACTATAAGCTACCTTTGCTATTGAATTTTAAAAACATGTTTCTCTAGTTCTGAAATCATTCCATGTTGTAGCATCTGTTTCAGCATTAAAGTCAAATTGGTGTACTGAAATAATTAAGTAAAAACTATTGCAGTGATTAACTTAAGTCTAACATAGAAATCCTATTGAATCTCTTAAGATTTGCCTTTTTTGTTAATAATGCTCTAATGTTTAAGAAATGGTTTAATAAATTTGAAATGTTAATGAGAATTTCAGTTTTTTGTGTGTGGGGGAGGGGGTGAATTGTGTTAAATGACTAACACAAATTTATTGATAAGCAATTATTTTCATCATCAGATCAATTGATTAAGATCAAATTAGTTGTTAGATTAGTCGAATAATCGAAAAAAATAGTCGCTAGATTAATCGTTTAAAGAATAATCGTTTGGGACAGCACTAATTGAACTTTAATCAAACAGGAATTTGAACATGCTAAGGATGCTTTTGTGTTTATTGTATTTTCCAGATGGGACCAGTCCTCCGCCAATGCAGCAGACACTTTTCTTGTTAGCACAGTATCTCAAAAAGTATTTGATGGATCTTTTTCATACTTTGCAGACACCTTGTATAGGTGAATATCTGCAAATGACCAAGGCAGATTTTACAAAAGACTGAAGCAACGCCACATAGTGATATCAAACAGAAGGGTAGGTTCAGACAACTTGATACCATTAGCACGATAACTCAAAGTATTTGTCATGTTTTCCAAACTTTGCAATTTTGAGCTAATTTTGAGTCAGTTCACACTAGAATGGAAGCAACAGAGCTTAGTGATAGGAAAGAGAAGGGCAGCCTCAGACACACAATTTTGCTAACCCAATAACTCAAAAAGAATTTGATGGATCTGTTTACCACTTCAAACATTATATGGATGAACATCTGACTGATCCTTAGTGTGAGACATTTGCACTAAAACTGAAACAGCGGTGCTTGGTTACAGCAAAGGAAGGAAAGGGTGGCTGCAGGAAAAACTTTTGTGAACCTATTAACTGTAAAATTATTTTATGGATCTTTTTCCATACTTCCTAGGAACATTGTAGAGGTGACGTTCTGGGACATGTTTCATTTTGAGACAAATCACACCAAAACTGAAGCAATGTGTGGAAGGAGCAGGGATTTCAATGGGGGAAAGAGGTAATAGGGCAGTTGGGGAATCCATTGTCATCATTCCAAAAGCTAGTTTATTTGGCAGATAATAGGCCGACATAACAAGCTTACAGGTGTCAAGGACCTAAAGTCGGTACAAGTTCAGTTTAGCTAAACTTCCAGTGATTGAACAGGACCGTGTGCAAGATAGTTATGGGAACCTACAATGTTGCCTGCTACAATGTCCTTTGGATAAGAAAGTAAAGAAAAGAAGGAAAATAACATAATCTGGATAATTATGGGATACTGATTGTAATGGTTGCCCGATTAGTCATATGGTTGGGTATTAAAATTTGTGGATTGTATCAGCCTCCAAACCCTGAAAGTAGCAAGTTGTTTTCAGTAATTCATATATTTGGTTTAAAACTCTCTTAGTAGTGTTAACATTTTTATAATCTGCTTGATCCTGCTTTGCGCTGGGGGTTAACATGTGAGAGGCCTGATGATTGCAGGTACTGTGTAGCACACATAAAAATCCTAGATTCTGGGCTTTAGCAGCACAGTGTCATTGTATGCACTGCATCAAGGTAATCAGCACAAGCAAAGATGTGCTAAGATGGTTTGGTTTTTTTTGTGTCTTCATGAATGAGGGTTTCCTTTTTGGTATGCTTTTGAGCACTGTGCCGTAAGCCATTGTCAGCTCATTATTCCTGAAATGGCTGAGTACAATCATAAGTGTCGTTTTCACTGAACATGCACTATCCAAGCCCTGCAAAGGAACCAATAGAGGGAGCAGCTTGGTCACATGACCACATCTGAATGCATTGTGGGCTGGGGAAGGAAACTGCTCTGTCCTCTTATTATTTTAAGACTGACACGTCTGTCTGGGTGAAATTGATCACTATATGCAGATGATGATATATTATATCAGATTTTTTTTCTTTGTCTCAGGCAGATTACCATCTATTTGACCTTTGTACATTTATTATACAAATCAGCTTTGCAATTTACTGAATTTTATTGACTTTCAAAATACAGTACAGCTGTTCCAAACGCACACAAATTACTGAACTGTGTATAATTCAAATATGCTTTAATACAGTACTGTACATAATATAGTTTATTATAGTTTTGCTCCTGCATCTCTGTTCGTCCTTGGCAGTTTATGATAAACTTTGATGAGTCTATATCCGTAATTGAGAGAATATTGCTTTCTTTTTTCCGTCATGTTTTTTGTGCACACAGCGGTTAGCTAGCGAGAAGCTGATGGGTTACCGCAAGGTGAAGTAGGCAAGTAAAACAATTACTGTAATAACATTTTTTCCCCCCATATGTTATGTATAAAGAGACCCAAAATGAACACTGTAAGTAGACTACTTGATTACTGTATCAATTTATTTAAACATAATTTGTACAGGAATTATGGTATCTCAAGATTTCGATCCATATAAGTGGTTGACCGCTACGACCGTGATCACTATAAGCAGGTTTCACTGTACTTTAAATATTGCTAGTGTTGAAACCAATTGGTGATATTACCTTTGGTAGCTGAAACTGTTTTTCCATTCTGTTGTATTGACTTTTGACCTATTTTTGTTCGGTGTCCTCTTCAAACGACGGACACGGCATTTTTCTTGGGTACAAGTTGCTGGAGTTGCTCAGTCGGCTCAGTGTTTGAATTCTCCTCCATGTTGCTTCCATGTCACAGACTGGATGGGGCAGAGTCATTGACAACACATGTGGTAGTATGTTTTTAAGGGGCAGTGCATGAACACACACTGGGGAAAGTATTAAAGGTTTTTTTTTAAAGTATTAACAGAATTAAAAAAAAAAAAAAGAGTTGTAACTGACTTGGGCAAGATCACGTCGATTAGAGGTTCTGAATGTTGGTTTTGATTAATTTTCGATTAATTGGCCAGCCCTAAGCAGAAGACTTTTTTTTATTTTTTTTATTTTGGTTGAACATCAGGTTGTGTTGCTTCTTTAGGTAAAGAGTAATACGTGGAAAACGAAATGTTAAAGTCATTAAAAACATTCAAGGTGCTTTGATGGTGTGATGGTCTTCATGAACAAACTTTCAGTGCCTAATTTGTTGCCTTTTTCCCAGGATAATAGAAACATACAAGCACGTCGGATTTCTCTACAGTTCAGGGGTGTGTTACTGTGGCCTCAGTGTGCACTGCTGCTTGTGTTTCTGATGGACCTTTTGGGACTTGCATAGACTTGAAGCCACCTGGGGTTTAGAACATGCTGTGGTGACACAGCTTTAACACCGAGCGCCTCTGCCCAGTTAAGAGTTAACTTCAGTTAGGAAACTGACAATGAGACCACTGAAGAGGAGAATGTTGGAGAAATCTGGAGAAACCAAGATTCTTGTGGTCTCATTGTCCCGTATCATTATTGATTGTTGTATCACAAAGTGTCTCTTAGTAAGATGAGGACTCAGCTTTTGCTACAGGATGATTTTCAAAATAACCTGTAATTGTTTTTTTGGTGTACATTTTGTTTGTTTTTCCATCATAATGCTTGGACGATTTGTTACGACTGCCTTCAGATCTGGATGCTATAGATAATAACAACCCTGCATTGCCCGCATGAGGTTTGGCTTTGAGTGTTTGGGTATATTTGCACCAGTTAAAAGTCCTTACTAGCGCTGAGGTGCAGGTGGTACGTTTTCAGGAACAACTGTAGTATTTCCCCGCTGTTGTGGATGAAGTGCTTTTTAGTGTCCATAAATTTAATAATGTTCTGGGTGAAGAGTGTTCTCAGAATGGGTGACAGGAAACTCTCGATGAGTGTACAGCAGGAAAAGCAACTGGTTTCAGTTACAAATTTCCAAAGTAACTGAGTGACTCTGAGTGTGCCAGGGTTAGTAAATGTAAATCACATCTTTTTCTAAAAATTGTTAATATATTTCTGGATGGTGGATGAGCCTAACTGTTGTGGTTTTTGTAATCTGCCTCTGCACAGCTTAAGAAATCCCACTCTGCTGTGACTTGGCGTTTCACCCTCCCCTGTACACCACTCATGCCACCTTTTAAAGACATCTAGAATTGGGACGGCTTCTGTAGTAGACATTCTGGTTATGAAATGGCCGTGATCTTCAGGATGCCGTGCTGCCACTATACTGAGCATGCCCCCAAATCGGCCTGTAGGGGGAGGGCCAGAAAGCAGCAGTGGGCATGTACAGATTAGCTGCACCATAAGTAATCACTAGCTTGCCTTCCATGTGTTGGTACTGAAGACTGAAATCCCTGTGTGACTTGCTTTTTCCTAGTCAGTGTTTTTACTGTAAGTAAACCTGGTGAGGAGAACTGTGCTGAAAATCGTAGATCACATTTTACTGAAGCTCTTTCTCCCTCTGGTGGTCAGAAAACACCCTTTGCTGAATTCTTGCTTGGTTTCTTCATGGACCATGTGGACCTGAAGGTTGAATTTGAAAGCAGCATATCTGTGTTCGTTGCCGAGAAGCAGATTATTGCTGAAGTCCATGGATTTGTCCTGTTTTAGTGATGTTCTTGGAAAGTGCTTCCTGTCAGAATGTAAATGGATTTGATTTAGCTCGGGTACCATTAACGGAGCTTTTGCTTTCTTATCTATGTGGAGAAGGTTGAATTTCAGAGCTCTCTGCAAAAAGAATCCAGGTTTTTTTTAAATAACACTTTTGGTGTGACTTTATATAATCTGCGGTATAGTATATGAAGGGCTAGATATCAAATCATCATATCAAAAGCCCAATCTATTTACTTTCAAGTTTAATTTTGCATCCATCCGATTTACATCTGTTCTGCAGTCCTGTACGGTTCCGTCACATGCTACTGTAAGCTAGAGGCATGTGGCTTGAAACCACATGCTATATCAAGATGGCTGCCGTGTGGAAGTCCTTTAAATTGGCAACTCAAAGTAGCCCAACAGCTACCTGCAATGTTTGCTGCTACCTCCTCTCGAAAGGATCGCATTGGGGAGTGATGATTAGTACAAAGAAACGTTTGCAGAAACGTCGTAAGGAAGAATACTGCAAAAATGCAAGGCTTACTCAGAATGCAGCAACACCTACTGTATGTGTATATATATATATATATTTAAGTATTTATTAAAAGAGCAGATCGGCATTTCAAATCGGGAGATATAAATATTGAAGCCAGAAAAAGAGACATTTGAAAGGAAGATGCCGAACAATAATGATACTGCAGGCCCCTGAATGAGGAACAACTTGAGATCAAAACATTACGTGATAAACAGGCTTAAAACTTCTCTCAGTACATCTGCTGGAAACTGTTGGAGGATCTGTACAGCCTGAGATGCATTCCACGTGGGAAACATGTAAGGAGAAAGCTGTATGCAAACCTTATTGGATGTTCAGTGAGTGGAGAGAAAGGCAATGTTTCTATACAGACCAAAGCTATAATGGTGTTTGGTAGTAAACCTGCATGCTCACAAAACCAAAATGAAGACTTTTATAGTAACAAGTTTGCTTTGGACACTTGTACTAGTTGAAGCGGGTTGTCTTTTTCCTGATCCCTTTGGTGGTTGGCAGTATGTTTCCCTTGATATGTAGCCGACGCATGAATGTTTGATTAATTTTTTTTATTGTCCGCATAATCTAATGTGCTTGTAATTTGGGGTCTTCAGAAGGCACCCTTCTGTTTGGAACTGCTGGAAAGGTTTTGTTTCTCCTCCTCACAAAGCATCCTAAGTCCTTCATACTATAGATACAAACTGTAAAACTTCTGAATCACTAAGGCTTTTTAAAATTATGTTTGTGGATTGAAACTTACACATGTTAAGGCTACATAGGTTATTTAATTTTAATGTAGCATTTTAATAGGAAAGTGTTGCATGTCAGTGTCCTGGTTTTTCTTGTGTGCCCTCAAATGAATTGCACAAGTTCTTTGTATAAATTCACTCTTCTTTTCAAGCTCTCACGGTATGCTGTGCATCTGTGTTTGTTTCTGCAGCTGTATGTCTAGGAGCCCTTCACACAGCGAACACTCTGTATGCAGTCGCACCCCTTCGCCTGTTGGTAAGTTCTGCTTAGAGATCTTCTTGTGTGTATCAGCTAAACGGTTATGTGGGTTTCCGAAGAAATATGGGCATGTGGCGTCAGACGGGTTGATGAAATATAGCCTTCGTTTTCGATGAGTTATCTTTCCAGGAACAGCCATTTTTCTGTTGTGAGAAGGAACTTCATGCATGTGTGTGTCTGTGTGTCTTTCTCCAGTGTTCTTGTTGACGTCCCCCACCTGCAAGCTCTCGGCTTGATGCCTCAGTTGTCTGTGGTCTATAATCAAGGATGTCTTACTCTACCCAAGCCCACTGTGTTTAATAGGACTCCAGGTCCGGGCAGTAAAGGGGGGGGAGGGGGTTGGGTGTTGGGAGACACACAAATAATAAATTAAATAAATATAAATTATGAAATAATAATCAGGTTTAATTAAAACACCCAAAAAGATGGTGCATGTTGATTCTGATATAAGCAAAGTTGTAATTTGAGATGAAATATTTGCCCATCAGCAGGCATGGGTGCCCTTCCTTACAGTTCTCAGAAACTGAGCGTCTGACCTACAATTAGGACTACAGTAGTGATTTAAACTTGCTATATATGTGGTGTGTTACTCTTCCAGAGTTGAACTTTTTCCCAGATAAATATCATATTAACATGGGCTGTACAGGTTTGTCAGTGTAGGGGAGTGGTGGGCGTTTAAGTGACATTGTGACATAATTTCATCAAATATGCAGCAACGCCAGATGGACAATGGTATGGACAATAATTAACAAGCATGAGGAAGGTAGTAGAACTTCTGTAGCATCAGTTAATTTATGTATCTTGGGGGCTGAGACCCATCTGAGATGTATTGCCAACACTGATAATACTCACTTGTAGCTTGCTGAGTAGTAGTGGACACACTGAGCCTGACGTTGAATGATCTGCATGTTTTTGATGGGAGTGCGGAACAGAGGCGAAATTTTTTGAAAATTGCGTAGAACATTTTTGCATTAAAATCTGCAGCTCTTGATTCCTTGTCTGGCAAGGCTATATGTTTTCAGCATTTGATAAATTCGCGACTGGCGTGACAGTTCCTTATGCCATACGGGGAATCGGTGCATGCCGGCCCTGAATCTCTGCTGAAATGAGATTAAATGGGAGTCCTGTGCTGTGTATTATTCGACCTCACAGGAAATCATCACGGGTGAGTTGTACTGCTTTGGAGCACGTTTCTGGTTTATTAGTAGAGCTCCCCTCTAATATGCCATGAGAAGGAGTGACAGCACAGGGACATTGAAAGTCTTGAGGGTTTAGAGTGTCGCTGATCTCAAACTTTCTCTTCTCTCATCTAACTTTTGGTAAAGCACATTGTATTCAACCACCGTCTTCATATACTGATACCTGTGTATACCACACAAGTTTTTTTTTTTTTAAAAAGTAATCCTTTTAGTAATAGTAATGTTTTCCGTGAGTCCGTCCTTCCTTCCATCCTTCCTATCTGGTGTTAATACCAGACATCAAAACATCAATAGTTAACTGTCGGTGTTATGTCTACAGGTATATAACTCTTCACAGTTATATAACACAGTTTGCTTGAATCCACTTTTAGCCCAACAGTGACAGATTAATTAATGTGTACCTCCTATTTTGGGTACTTTATTCCAAAAATCCCAACAAAAGGCCAACATGAAATTGTAATTTTGCTCTTGTGCTCAGAGTCCTTGTCTTTTGACCCCGTGTGTCCGTCTCCTGGCTTCCGCCATCATGGTAGCATTGCCACTGTACTGCACAGGCTTCTGATGATGTGTATTAAGTGGTCTGGACCACGTTCACTTTCCTTTTCACTAAAAACAGTTTTGTCATAATCTAACAATAACAAGGTCCCAATGAGAAGCCATGGATTAAAAATACTTCTTGTATGCAAATATGTTGTGTAATAAACAAGTAGAAATTTAAAATTGAAAATGCATCAGACTTAGTTTTTTTTTTAATTTTTTTTTTTAAACTTGCACTCACAAGTGATTGTAATAAGAAGATTGTAATAAGAAGATTGTAACGAACTGTGTTCTTTCTGTAGTTTTAATTGCCCTGGAGCTTAACTTGGTTTAGTATATTTTATTTTTTGGTACCAGAAAACACTGAAAGTACCATACTGAAATCTTAAATAAATGCAGAATGTTTTTATAAATCAAATTTGCAGCCGCCACTCGTTAAAATGAATTCATATTCATTTGGGACACACCGGTAAACCCAGAATGGAATGTGAATACCTACACACAACCGCATGTTCGCTTGTTTGTAATTATTTACAAAGATGTCAACAAGAAGCCTCATGTATGAAGTCGAATGAGAGCAGCCCATGTGACGTAATCCCAGTGACGTAATCCCAGTGACGTAATCCCAGTGACGTAATCCCACTGCACCTGTTTGAGCTGTTTATACATGTCACCCACATTGGGACAGTGAAAGCAAAGCAGCTTTAGACATTGTTTCTCAGCTGGGTAGATTCTGGAGAGTTCTCTTCATTGCATGATCTGGGGACAGACACAACAGTGGAAGATCTTGCCAATCCCATAGACACAGAGTGGAGGTGGGGTTGGGACCACCAACTGGAGGTGTGCAGGACTGATGCCCTCAGAGAAAAACAGATTGATAAATGCAAATGGAACGTATCTCCTACTGATACTATGCTGAAATCAGAGCCTTTCCTCAAGCTTCATCCCAGTCCTTCATACATGGGCCTTCAATCTGCTCCTGCGCATTTCTTCTTTACACTCTTCTTCCCATCTTTCCTCTTCTGTCCAATGTAAACAAAGACTGTCTTGTTCTCATCTGTTGTGACTCGGATTCAGCCGCAGCCTGGCCAGCCTTAGTTTGTGACAGTACTGTAAGATCTTCCTGACATTTTCTGCTTGACGTATCTTCATTCTTGAGCGAGTAGTTTCCAGTTTTATTGATCCAGCATAAGTATTTGTGTGACCTTAATTATTAGGTCGGACCTCTTTTACGAGTTACCAGAAATGCATGGCACACAGGAACACAGAAGGTTTGTTAAAGTAAGTTTTAAAAGAATAGATTGAATCCAATTTAACTTTTGTCCAGTATATTAATCTTAAATGCCTGCCCTTGTCGTGTCCATAGCTGTCTCCCAGATGCCTTTCACAGCTTACTGCTTTTCCACCTGACCTTTCCGGTCTTTGGAGCCTAGTCTCCTTTTTTGACATTATAAATTTTTTTGTTGTAATTTTTTGATTTATAAAATAAGCACATAAAATGCCTGGTTTTTCTCATGACAGTTCCAAAACCAGCACATTTTGAAGGAATTACATCCATCTGTCCTTTCAATCTGGTTTTCATCCCTCAAGATGGAGGCATTTGGAACCACTAGCTGGTGACAACCCAGCAGCCAGAGCCCTCACAATTATTAATGCCTAAACCAGACCTGATCTGGATATCATTTAACACAGACACAGAGTCTTGTATATAATACAGGGGTAGGCAGCCCTGTTCCTGGGGAACCAGTATCCCACAGGTTTTCTGGCCTATCAGATGAGTCACTATCTACCTGAGATGTATGATTCATCATAGACCAGGTAGAAAAGAAAATCCGCTGGATACTGGCACTGACGGTTCAGGGTTACCTAACCCTGATATATTAGATCTGTAGAGGTGGTGTGTACTTTGGTGGTTTTGTGTCCACTAAATCTTAGGCTTTCATTCTGCACCAAAATAGCCCCATTACTCTGTCATAGGAAACAAAACTTAGCAAGCTTTGCTGTTTTAACCCTGATGGCTCTATGGGAGCTGGTTACTGAATGATCCTGCTCTCTGGCTCCAAGAATTCTTTAGTTGGTGTGTGTGTGTGTGTCTACATATTACATAGTCTGTGTTCCGGGATCTGTAAAGTACCTCTATTCTATATCTTTGAGTTTTTGCACAAATCTATTGAAAACTACAATTCTGTTATTAGTATCCCGAAAGCTTTGTAATGCTAAGTGGTTTATCTAACACTTAAATTATAAAGCATCGAGTGTTTGTTGAAACCCTTTGTAACTAAAGTAGCTTATCTTGCTCATAAATTTAAGAATACTCCAGACCTCTTTCTTCGTTTTTCTTTTGCCTGCTGTGCTGTCTCAGAGAACACTTGCCTGCTGTTCTATTACAGACACATAAATTCTGCCCAATATAGATCAGAAAAACACACTGACGCTCTTTTTGGGCAACGTCATAATGCTGATAACGTCATAATAAGGTCAATGTTGCAGTATAAATTTACAATGTTGCCGATATGCAACCATCAACATTGCGACTAAGTGGCCTGAGAATATACATGATGCTTAAATTAGATCCAGCTTTGGAGTGTGTCAGATCGCAAAGGATGGCGTGTTTGCTGGTTGCTGGTAATTGGGAGACCCCAGGCACAGAATACCTGCTGACTCCAGTGCTGGATCCCTAAACCATTGTACCACACACCAAAGAGCATTACACTGCTGTATAGTGTGCTCTGGGGATGTGGAAGATGTGATTCTGGTGCCTGCACAAGTCCTTCAGAGCTCTAAGATTTTCCCCTGTAAGTTACTTTGCCGTTCTTGTTGTGTGTGGTATCCTGCACAACATTGCAGTAATTATTTTATTAAAATATTTATTTTGGCCAGCTCCTCAAAAAGTTATTTTGATGTGTTTTTTTGAGAAATGTTACTTCCTTTTCCCATTGGTGCTTGCAATTGTTCTTCTTTACAAGGAAGCAACATCACATTTTGAGCCCATTTTTATGTTTTTAACAAAAGGTTAATTTATCTTAGTCTTAATTTTGGTTGCTTTCTTGTGTTTTTATAGATTTTCTTTTTAGTTAGTATATATTTTTAATATTTGCATATGTCTGGTGTGACAATCATATAACATTTCAGCATTGAAATGGGAGATTGATGTTCCTGTCATCGACAGTCTGAGCTTTTCTTACACAGAGGTTGGGGAGGAAACAATGTACTATTTTAAGTTTGTTTGTTAATTCTGGAATAACAAAGCATTTTAGGAAACTCACAAATTTCACTCGTTCTTTATCGACGTCATTCATTATCTTGTTTATTGTTATCAATCTTATTTGGGAAGCTCACCTCAGATCCGTATCCTGACAGAATAGTTTGTAAATCTCCTTTATGGGCCTGTTTGGTTTTACTGCTATGCCTTTTGGGATTTTAAAGTATTTAAAGTATTTCAGCTGCTAATTGACACTCTTATCTAAAATGCATCTTTTTTTAAAACTGTACTGTACTTTGTGGAAGTCAGTCACCATCTTGGTGAAGTTTTACAGTGGAAAGTCTCAGAACAGGATGTGACTTGGGAGAACCCATCACCCAAAAAAAAAGATGCAAGAAATATCCTTCATCTTGAAAACTGCTGCAAAAAGCTAGATCTGCTTGGTGGATGTTGTGTCGTCACCACACCAATTGCAGTTACTGAGAAGCTGTGTCCTGGAGTTGAACAGACAAGTGTCAGAATATTTGTCAGAATTCTGAAGGAAGCTCCATTGTGGAGTGTCTGTACCTAAAAGTGACATTATGAGCTGTTCTAGCCTGGACCAGCAATGAAAAGGAAATTGTGATGTTGTTTTGTTGCCAGAAGCTGAATTTTAATCTGCTTCATAAATATAAAGCATTGAGACCCTAATGGCTGCTTAATTCCAGGAAACATATCAAATATCCTCCATCAACCTCATAGTAGCATTTTAAAGAAGTTAGGGGTGTAAAGATGCATCTTGATGAATCGAATATTAAGGTAATGATTCAATGTAACAATCTGAAAACATAAGAATCGTTTTTTTTTTTGGGGTAAAATATAGATTCTCCTGCTTCTAGGGTATGGTATAGGGTTGGGTGATTGTGATATTGATATCGGCATTGCATGTTATGTAGATGCAACAGAAGGACTGCGATAGTCGACTTGGTTGAGATCAGGCTTTTTCATACCTTCATACTGTCTAGACATGATAATGTGGGGAGTTTGTTTCGTTAAAGGATTTTTACTCTGTTATTGGAAACAAACCCTAGCAAGCTTTGCAATTTTAATGCTTGCTCCTTTTCAAGATTATCTAATATATGTTTAAAAATCTTTTTAAAGTTTACTGCCGCTGCTTTTGCATGTGCTCTCCAATCCAATCATTATCACTTTCATACTCGGCGTTTAAATCACTCACAGGGGTTTGTGAGAAATGTTATTTTTGAAGCTTTTTAAGTATCCCAATATTTGTTGCAGCAGAATCACTTCAAAGTGTTTTAAAGTGTTCCAGTATGGTGCAGCCCTAGAGTATTATTACAGGTAGGGTTGGGCCGTCCAAATTTCATTGTTCTTTTGATCAGATCAATTAAAGCTTGGGTCTCTTCATTTATCTGCGCATCACTTATATTTTCTCTTTGTTTTTTGAGTTTGTAACTATGCTTTTTTTTTTTTTTATAGATGTCAGAGGCAGGTTATTTGCATAACCAATCGACAATGAGCTCGTCTTAGCGGTCTTACTAGAAACCAATGGAATATTTTTTTTTCCGTATCCAATATTCGGTACCTAGTGCAGTGGATAAGTGCCTTTGGTTATAACATATCGGTAATGGGCAATATTCTTTGAAAATCAAGATATCGGCATAGATCTCTCAATCTTGTTCAATATTTAAACTTCATCGATATTCAAAGTTAGCAACACCAGAGACAAAGATGATTGCATTGGATGATCAGACACTTTCTGCAGCGGAGGATAAGGGATCCGTTTAGTTCATTCACCATTTACAAGAGGTTACAGAGTCCTATCTGGAGACGTTTATAATTTATTATAATTTATAATTAAGTCTGGCCCACTGATCAATCTTTAGATTATAAAAAATCTTGAATCATAAACAAAATGAAAGATTGCTGATTCATCAAATCGTTCCCTTGATAATTGTAATTGTCACCTCCCACCCCCTGCAGAATTACAGCACCGCGTTACCCGGAATGGTGAAGTTTAGCGTGACGTTGCTTTAATGTAGAATATCGGGCTGAGCAGGGGAATGCAGCCTTTGGGGCTGGTTCCGTGTTGCAAAGCTCGCTTAGTGCCGATATACCGTGTGCCTGTTTTTGGTAATAAAGTTGCATTCGTTTGTAAATAATTGCTAAAGCATTGAAGCATTGTCACCTGGACTGTGGGAAATGTACTGAATCAGGTTTTAAATAACTGTGCCCTTGGCTGCAACCTGTCCGGGGTGTATCCCTGACTTGTGCCCTGTTCTGTTTGGTATTGGCTTCGGTCCTTCCCCGGATGGATGGATGGATGGATGGATGGATGACACACTAATACACATTAGTAAACTAATCATGCGACTGCCTGAGGTGTGGCCTTACAGCCTTAATTAAAACCAGTGGAACCTGAACCAAAGGCCACTGCAAAACATTTACATCTGTGTCTGTGTGTCACCACTCAGAGCAGGAAAGAGGGAATTTAAGATGTGTCATGGAGCCTTTCACAGCCAGAAAAGCTCATATGTTTTTGCTGCAGTCAGTCCTCCCTTATCCTTCACCCCCACCCCCCAGAGCATTTTATTTTTCACCATGACCGTTGACACATTTTTTTGAAATAACACATTATTTATTAGTGTGATATTTCTGATAAATAACGTTGGTTTCCAGCTGGGCCAAACCAGGTGCGGACGGGTGAGCGGACATGTCCAGCAGCGAGGTGGAGCGAAACGTGACCCCTGAGAGCGGGGGAGAGGGGCAGGGCTCCCCCCCGCTGCAGGCCAACCTCTGGGAGAACGGCCACCCCCACGGCTCCATCACAGGCAGCAACGGGCTGGTGCTTAGCCAGCCGCAGGATGGAACCCCCACGGCCAGGAGCGCTCGCTCGCCGGCCGCCGTCTGCTTGGCCGGACGTGCTGCCAAGTCGCTATCGTCCCCCTCAGTGCAGACCCCGGGCCCCGACCCGGGCAGGCGGGCAGTCGCGGCAGGAGCGCAGGAAGCAAGAGTGGAGAACGGAGGCACTCAGGATCCCGTACCGCCGGTTAGGGTGTATCGAGCACGGAAGACCATGGCCAGACCTGCCTGCAGCCAGACCACCCTTAAGGTACTCAGTTATTACTCTGAGGGCCATTTCTGCTGCTGGATTTAAAATGACATTACTGTCTTTTTTTAAATTGGATTATAAGATGCCAGATTTTACTCTCGCCGTACAGTAAGACATCGCAGAAGAATATTAAAATGAAAATTCCCATCTCTGCTCATCTTACAGCTTGATTGTTTGTTGATTCTGCATATTTGTTTACTGTTGAATTTCTTTTTTCCTTTCATATCCATTAAAATTGTTTTACGTTTATCCATTTCTTGCTTGGGAAATGTGAAGCTTTTAAGCCGGGAGCCAAAAGAGTCAAACAGCGTTAGAGAGGAGAGCCGAGGGGTGCTGGAGCTGCAGCTGGAGCTGGGGAGGCCTCAGCAGGTGTCTACTTCCCAGAAGCAGCCACGTCCGAGCCAGGGGGCCCCGGCTGCCGTCCCCGGCAAGACACACACAGGTGCGTGACTTTTTCAGCTTAGTACCAGGGTAAATAGGTAATGGGTTAATACTTGGAAAACACATGACTTCGGTTAATTTAATTATAATAAATGTTCGTTGGAGAGGTATTAAAAGTTAACCTGTGCACTTCTGAACTGTGTCCCCCCCACCCCCCACACAAACACGAACAGACAACCCCAAGAAAATTCCCACAGCAGCCGCTGTGACTCGTAAGAAAAGGAGGAAGATGGGGACGTACAGCCTAGTACCTAAGAAGAAAACCAAAGCGCTGAAGCAATGCTCTCTAATAGAGATCTTCAAGAACGTCGCTCAGCCCTCAGCTCCTACTCAGGTGTGGGCTGGGACGCAAACACACACTCAACTGCTTATTGCTTGCATATAAATGGGTTTGTATCTGCTAAATGCTAATGGCAAGGTGTACTGTACCTTAGTATCACACTTGGAGTATCGCACAGTTCTGTTCATTCCTGATACAATGGTCCCCTTGGCTTTAATTTCTGTGTATTCCTCTCCAGAAAGAGAGCTTGTATGTCAATGGAGATGAGGCTGAGAATGATTTTGATGAGGAGTCTGAAGATGGAGAAGATTCGGAGACAGGAGATCAAACAAGGGAGCATGTTGGGGTCAGGGAGGAGGAGGGACGTGGTGCTCTCCCAGAAGGCAGTGGGGCAGCTGAGAGTGCACACCAGGTTAGCCAGCAGAGTACGAACTGGCAGCTCGGAACTGCAGCGCCGTCATGGGGGATCTTTTGGGTTTTACCTTCGTAAAACCCTTTCATGCAGTTTACTTCCATACCAGGGGCTGGGTGGAGAAGATCAAAAATCTGGAGAATCTGCTGAAGATGGTGATGAGGAAGGGAACGACTCGGACATGGTAAGACATCAGAAGCTGCGTTTCATGAGAACTGGTGGTGAGACCTGTAGGAATGCGAGAAGGACGCCAGCAGCCTTTTGGCTCATAATCCAGGCATTTAGACAAAACATTAAGGTTTACTTACCTGGCAGTGCATTGAAATGTGTGACATACTGGGAAGACAACTGATGGTGATTGCGCTTGGTGATGGTAAAGTTCAAACCAGTGAAATGTTGCCAGATGTTAGATTTATTTCCTGCTACCCACTGTCCCCTTGCAGAGCTCAGAGACTTTCCTGAAGAAGAAGCTGAAGAAAAAAGGAAAGAGTGACAATCCTTGGCTTAGACCATCTAGGAAGCGCAAGCGGAAACTCAAAACTAAGACTGAATGCAGTTCTGGTACTAAAACATCTTCCCAGTTCTGTTACCTTGGCCAATGAATACATTACTGTAAGCATGTCAGCATTTGTAAGATTTGCTTATGTTTGGTTTTATTTATTCTCTGGATACATTCAGGAAATGAGGTTGAAACTCAGGCCCAAGTCAGTGGCACCAAGGAATACACAGAGCTGCCCCTAGAATCACTGGACCTGAAAGTTCAGGAGCTCTTCCTCTCCCAGCGGACAGGTGGGAAAGACGTACTTTAAAGGGTCACAAACGGTTACTTTCTCCTGGGGGGGGTCCTCCATGTTGTTTGCACTGTGAATCAGTCTTCATTGGGAATGTTTCTCACGTCTGCGAGTTTCGGAATAGCGTCTAATGGATGGAGAAACGTTTGGGATGCCAAAGGAATGCCCAGTTGTCATCTTCTGTAATTTGTAATATGCTTTTAAGAGACTGATGTTTAGGATTTGCACTGGGAATGTTAATTTGTTTCATTGTTTGCGAGCAGTAAATATGGCTAATTTTTATCTTACGGAGAAAGTATCAAAGAAGCAAATTGGCGGCTTGCTGCCTGACAGCGGAAAAACATTTCAACATTTAAAACTGTAAGAGTTCACAATTAAGATAGGAAATAAGGGAGTGAAGCATTAGGACACCAGGACATATTTTATTTGACAGACTGTTCTCTTGCTGCTGGTCAGTGATCTGTTAAAGGAGCATCCTCTGGTAGTGTGGACTAGACACACCAATGACTTAACATTCGGTATGCTTATTTTTAAGGCATTTTGACCTGGTTTTTATAGGTTTTGTAGACTAAATTGATCAAATCTGATTTTTCTACTGAAACAGAAGTTGTTAATTACTTATCAGCACTCTGTTGAGGCTGTGTCACTGCCATACACTGTAAACTGTTCTAGAAATAATTAGAAAACCAAACGCAAAGAGCTGAATGAGAGGTAGATAATATTCTTAGTCCATCAAACGGATGGACTGCTTGCTCAGTAGCAACATTGGGAATTTGGAATCTTCAGCTTTTGCTTGGTGGCCACCTAGCCAGTCTCTGTAATTTCCTTACTGACGGTTGTATCACGCAGATTTACCCGGTGGTGTGGAGAGCATAGGGGAGGACATGGTGCAGGAATTGCCCCTGTGTAGCTGCCGCATGGAGGCCCCGAGGAGCCGCGAGATCCTCACGCTGGCCGACAGGAAGTGCATGGCCACGGAGAGCATGGATGGGAAGGTAGGGTTCTGTGGCACGGAAGCTCCTTCACATGTCCTGGGACCGGGTCACCAAACCTGCTCTGTCTGTCTCCCTTCACGTCCTGTTAGCTCAGTCTGTGTCAGAGTACCGTGGTAAAGTCTGAGATGATGAGGCCCTCCAACATGGTCCAGCTGCTGGTGCTGTGTGAGGACCACCGTGCTGGCATGGTCAAGCACCAGTGCTGCCCCGGCTGCGGCTATTTCTGCAGGGCGGTGAGTGAGACCGACCGCTTGCCCAATCTCATCCGTTGGTGAGCTATTCAGCCCCTGCTGTTGCGTGTTTCATCTTTTGTTGTAGTTTAATCACAGTCCATGGTGGCCGGTCCATGTCACTTTCCGTGACGAGAAACGAATCTGAAGCCGGAGCAGGAATATGGAAACACAGAATAGAAACTGCTGGTTTTGGTTTATTGCTGCTTTGTCTATGACACAGGGAACATTCATGGAGTGCCAACCAGACAGCAACATCTCGCACCGCTTTCACCGGACCTGCGCCTCCGTGATGAACTGCCAGACCTTCTGCCCTCACTGCGGAGAGGAGGCCAATAAAGCCAAGGAGGTTACAATTGCTCAGGCAGACACCACCTCTAAAATGCCCTTAACCCTTGGCCCTGTGAAAGTTACCCTCCCTGAAAGCAAAGCAGACACCACCTCCAGGATGGCCTCAGCCCCTGGTCCTGAGAGGGGCCCCCTGTCTGAGGGCAGGCCTGATACCACCACTGGAGGAGGGTAAGGCCGGGCAGGGTGGTTTGGATCTGGGGTTTCCACCCTGTTTCTGGCAGTCTCAGGCGTACCTAAATGGACCAAGGGTTGCATGAGAGGATTTTCTTTGTAATAATAATAATAATGATAATGTATTTGATTTCGTGTACAGTGTAATTATGTTTCAAGGCATAAAAATATGACTCAATGCTTCAGTGATTTTATTTTTTGTTTAGTCCTTCTTTCTGGTCCAAACTGTGGAATTGCAGCTGTCCGGTGCTTAAGATTGTTTTCTAAAGACCACACGCTCTGTGTCTCATCCTCCACTGTTAGTGAGGAAAAGGCCACCAGCCCATCACCTAAGACCCCCGATACATCTGAGACCATTCCTCTTAATGGGTCAAAGGTCGAGTCTCTGGTTTCTGCGGCGGCACTGGGAACAGGCAACGAAAGTCTGGAGAACATTCTCCTGGTCTTGGATGCTGAGAAGTAAGGTTCCTGGGAATTAGAAGTAGCCTGGATGGTTAATCTTATTTCTGTCGCAGAGACACTCTGGTCCAGTACCGGTGCTGTGAGTGATACAGCCCTGAATGATATATTGTGACTTTTTTAAAATGTCAAATTATCCATTCTGTAGTGTAACATTTGAGTTTTCTGCTGCAAATGTGTTCACAGTCTAGGTCAGGGGTCTCCAACTTCAGTCCTGGAGAGCTACTATCTAGTAGGGTTTCTATTGTACCTGGCTTCCGATGAGCCACAGATGTTCCTGGTATTTACCTGAGAACATGTGCTGTCCACCAGAAGCCAGGTAGGATAGAAAACCTACTAGACCACAGCTCTCCGGGGTTGGAGTTGGAGACCCCTGGACTAGGTGTTTTTCCGTTTCGGGTACCCTGTCTTCCTTAAGTCTTACGGTGTTTCTCTTATGGGGCAGGCCTAAAAAGCTGAGGTTTCACCCAAAGCAGCTGTACCTCTCCGCCAAGCAGGGGGAACTCCATAAAGTTATTCTGATGCTGGGTAGGACCATATCATGTCTGCGTTTTTGTACTGAAGCTCCATGATCAGGGCTTTCTGAAATACTGAATGCATTTTAGGCGTAAGTGAACCGTGTGATGAGTTTGGGCGTCTGCTTGGTGTCTCATCCTAGTTGATGGAGTTGATCCAAACTTCAGGACGGACAGCCAGAGGAAGCGCACGGCCCTGCATGCGGCAGCAGAAGCTGGTCACCATGAAATTTGTCACGTCCTGATTCAGGTGTGGCTGCAGCTGGCATACCAGTGTGTTTTGGAATAAAGTTTAAGAGTACGACAGGAATGTAGAGCCCACTCCACATTATTATGACCTATAAACTTTTGCTAGATTTTTGGTTGTTAGTCTTGCCTAATTACTGATATAAATGTGAGGATTTTAGCCATTTCTGGTATTTTGATTTATAAATATTGTTCTGACGACAGTGTTCAGGAGTCAGTTTTTGGAGGAAAGTGTATGGAGTAGCCGATTCTAACTTGCATACTAACGATCTGCTGCAGAGCTTCACACCCATGTAGTCTCTCAGAAAGGTCTGGCAGGCTAACTGCTGAAATGAGTTATCTTCTGTAAGGTGGTCAGTCTCCTGTCTTCTCTAGGCTGGTGCCAACCTGGAAATGTGTGATGAGGACCAAAGGACGCCCCTGATGGATTCCTGTGAGAACAACCACCTGGAGACCGTTGGGTATCTGCTGAGAGCTGGGGCCAACGTGAAGCATAAGGTCAGTCTGGGTCCATTAATTATGGAATCCAGGAATTTACCCTGTAATACCTTATGAAGTAGCACTACTGGGAGGCTGAAGCTATGGACAAGGTCTGTGACAAGACTAAATGTCCCTTTTTATTGTTGTCTATTCCTATCCGCTTAAGTCATGACGTTTGAATCACGTGACAGTACTATTTTGGGGTCAACCTGGGTACAGGCCAGTGTGCCACAAAATTCACGGCGCAATTTTGGTACAGCAAGGAAAGCAGAATATGTTCTGAGATTATTTGTTGTTAAAACTCAAAATACAATTAGGAAAAAGTTGCAATGCAATGCATCTGTCGACGTGTCTGAATAACAAGACGTTTATTTGCATGTTGTAAAACATATATAATACTTTTAAAAAATCAAAAATATATCATCATAAAAGTCCCGTATTCTCTACATGCATGTGTAGCTGTTTCTGTCTTCCTCCGGTCGTCCAGACACCTTGATGCTGTCTCGAATGAGTTTGCACGTTGGACGTGTGTGCAGCCACATGTTCGAATTCGGTATAACATCAACGGAAAGTCTTGGTTTGATGAACTATTCTCTCTCCAGTGTTGCTGTAGCCTATTCAGAAACCAAGATGTTCCCAAACCGCCGATTATAACTAAACCAGTATTAGCTGTAACAAACTCACAGCTACTGTTAGCATAATGTTTTCCATGATGAACGTCTACTTGTGAATTTAGGTTCCACACACTTTCACCTGTTTTTTCCACCTCCTTTTTTTCAACTTGAATTTAGCCTCCTTTCCAATCATTTCATACTTTGCTGAAGAAAGACAATATGATGAATAATGTTACCGGGTCCATAGTTGTGGTTTGTTTGGACCGTCTGTTATGTCAAGTATTGTGCCAGACTGAACAAGTGCATAGTCGCATAAGGGTAAATAGACAGCTATTATAAGGATAATAATAATGATAATAATGATAATAATAATGAAAATAATAATAATTATAAATAAATGGACAAATTCCTATAGTGTGCATCAGCCTGATTACTGCTCTTCCAATGTACCAGTTGGAACAGTTTGGATACTTGCAGAGCAAAGATGCTGGTGTCTTATTGCGGCCCCCGACCTTGTACCTGCCATAAAAGCCAGCATTGACCCCTACCTGTTTGTGCGTCCAGCCATTTTCCATTCTACCCATCAGTAGAAGGTCACTGCAAACCCGCGACCGAACCCCGGCCGCCCAGGACTCAATGGTCTCTGCCATTGTTGGCTATAATCTCATTTTATCTTTAGCACTGGTGATGTGCAATGCTTTTATAATCAGCTGATCATTTTTATCTATTTCTATAGTCATTGAAGTGAGATAGTAGCCATACCGGAGTCAGTCTTAGGCAGCTAGGTATTAAGTGTTGTAATTTTTACACTAACAGCTGTCATCTGAATCAGTCAGAATTTCTCCCCTAAGCAGTACATGTCAGACCAGAGGAAATTCATGACACTTGACCTGTCGCAGGATATGGACGGCTCTACCTCATTACACCTTGCTGCTAAAAGAGGACACCACAAGATTGTGGAACATCTCCTGTCCACAGGGTTGATCAACATCAACTGTCAGGTAAACACACATCTGTTTACAAATCAGTGTCAGCAGGAATTTCAACCCCATATGTGAGAAACGGTCGCGGTTTGTTGGCTTCATCTGCTCTGAAGCCCCCGTCTGTCCCTCAGACGTCGCTGTGCAGCCCGGGGATGTTTGCTGGGCTCGTCCCTCTCCGATCATCTCCTACCCCAACACCTGTAGTTAGGGATTCCCCCCTTCACATTCCTATAGGGGCATCCCAGACTGTTAGGATGCCAGCATGGTTCCTTTATCACCTTAAAACAATCCCCTGAATGATGACTGGTGGGATTCTAACCTCAGGCGCATTGGGAAATAGACAAACGTTTGCCAACACATAAGAAACGTTCAAACTTTTTTATTTGTTCGATCTGTTCTACTGTCTATTTTCTCACCATGAATATAGCCCTGGCCGCTGGCATGGTCCTAAAAGATAGCATAGGTCTCATTAGCTAACACGCAAGAAGATAAAAATCTGCATATTGCCCTCATATTTTAATGGTCAGCAGTTTATTATTATTTTCACTTTATTGGGTGACGAACGATTGGCAGGTGTACATGAAAGCTGAGACTCGGGCTCATCCGTGTTGTCTGGCAGCTAAAGAAGCAGGTTTGCGCTTCCTGTCCGTGTCGTACTGCAGAGTGGTATACAAAAAGCACGCATAAAACACGCAAAAAACACGCATAAAACACGCACCTAAACCCTTTCGCGGCTTTCAGGACGACGGTGGATGGACTCCTGTGATCTGGGCCACGGAGTACAAGCATATCGATCAAGTCAGACTGCTGCTCTCTCGGGGGGCCGATGTCAATATCAGAGACAAGGTGGGGACCCAGGCCAGCCTTCCCATGACCATCTGCTTGGGTCACCTCTCTGCCCAATTCACCTCTTTCCTATACTTACCTTGATAATGACAAATTCACTATCAAGAAACAAGTTATTTTAACTGACAGTTAATTATAGGCTTAATACTAGAGCAGGGGTCACCAACATGGTGCCCCACGGGCAACAGGATGCCCCCCAAGGACCACAAGTTGCCCGCGGACCTGTTCTAAAAATAGCACAACTCACCAGTGAGCAGTGTCTAAAATATAATTCTATCCTGTTGCTATTCTTCTTTAATCACATTTGCATTTATATAGATTTGAAAATGACAATATCTTAAAAAAAAAAAAGCATTTAAAACCTGTTTATTGTATATGAAATTTAAGTTTAGGGCTTTTCAAACTGGTAGCCCTTCGTATAGCTCAGTACCCGTGAAGTAGCTCTCGGTTTCTTAAAGGTTGGTGACCCCTGTTCTAAAGTTTGAAGTTCAAAGTTAAGCTGTTTGAAAGCTGTAGCACACGTCAGCTCCTGTGCTTGCAGTAAGTTGTACCGCTGATAGTTTATATAAACTCTATAAACTCTCTCCACTCCGTGGCGCATCTTGAAGCGTGTGATGTGCTGGTCAGTATCTCACACTCATTTCTTTGGTGTCTTTTTTTTTTTGTTTTTCTTACATCATGACCGTTTCTAAAGGAGGAGAATATCTGCCTGCACTGGGCGGCCTTCTCCGGTTCCATGGACATCGCCCACATCCTGCTGGACGCCAAGTCTGACCTGCATCCCGTCAACGTGCATGGGGACTCACCACTGCACATCGCAGCTCGAGAGAACCGGCTGGACTGCGTGGAGTGAGTGCTGTCTGGTGCATGGGCTGCTGCCGTCTGTGTCTCTGATTAAAGTTGGTGTCCACAGTAGTTCACCCCGGTTTATACACTAGGGGGAGCTCTGGGGTTGAGAGATCCCTGCAATGTGTTTGACGCATGTCCGATGTTTTTTGAGCAGGCTCTTTCTGTCACGTGGAGCCGACGTTAACCTGAAGAACCAAGAGGGGGAGACCCCTCTGGAATGCAGCAGTCCGGGCTCCTTGGTGTGGTTGGCTCTGCAGACCAATAGGAGACTGAAGGAGGCGGGGAGTAGAGCGGGACACCTGCAGGAGAGGCTCCTCAGCAGGTTGTCTGGCTGTCAGTCACAGGCTGGGGCGGGCCTTCAGACCTTGCTGTTGCATTTGTTGTGTTGTTTTTTTTAAGCAAAGTACCGTGTGATCTTCATGTTTCGTGTCTCACTTTTCCTTCCAGGGACATCTCACGGGGTTATGAGAACGTTCCGATCCCGTGCGTAAATGCAGTGGACTCTGAGCCCTGTCCAGACAACTACAGGTATATGCCAGACAACTGCGTGACCTCGCCACTGACCATCGACAAGAACATCACACACCTACAGGTACCAAAGTCATTTTTGCATCCTAGATGTTGCCCCGTGTTTGATTTTGGGCCTGATCAGGTAAACTAATGTAGAGTATTGTGAAGTCCTTTAGCTCTTCGCGTGGCTCTGTTTGTATTTACGGCTGGTCTTTCCTGTCATCTTTTAGTACTGCGTGTGCAAAGACGACTGCTCCTCTGCTCACTGTATGTGCAGCCAGCTCAGCCTGGGCTGCTGGTATGACAAGGTAAGGAAGCCGCCAAATTAGGCCTTAGTCACTGTCCAAGTTGGCCGTCCCTAAGCTACGCTGTTATGATGCCGCCTTAAAAAAAGTCCGATGCAGTTGAGCTATGCCGCCAAATGCACTGTCACCTTTAGATGTGATCTTATTTGGAACATCGTGACCTTGTACTGGCAAATTTTAAATGTAAAGTCAGATTTTATGAGGCTGATGAGAGATTGTATAACCTGTGGGTTATTGACGTTTCACATCCCACTGAGAGGTAAAATTCAGTTTAATAAAATCTTATTTAATGTAAGCTGTGGGTGGGGGAGCCTGATCCAATGGAGAGCTGCTGTGGGTGTGGGTTTCCGGATGGCCTCTCAGTCAGCCAGTAAGAGTGGGTCCTCAGGACTGGAGTTGAGAACCACCGCATTATTATTGGCCGATTGAGACGTCATCACAAAAACCCGCCCCCACAGCGGCTCTCCATGGATCAGGTTGCCTAGAAGCATTCTCATCGGTCTAAGGTCATGTAATACTGTTTTGATTTCTTATTCGCTTATTTTTTTGTGCATGGAAATGTCCTTATGCTTCTCAGTATCTGCTTTGCTAGAAACCCACTTGACCGTCCCGCAGCAGTAAGGCTGGCGGCCATTAAGCCCATTTTGCGTGTCCGTGTGTCCAGGAGGGTCGACTGCTGAGTGAGTTCAGCCGGGAGGAACCACCACTGATCTTCGAATGCAACCATGCATGTTCTTGCTGGAGAACCTGCAAGAACCGTGTGGTGCAGAACGGGTTCCGGTAAGTCCTCACCCATGAGTCCTGTGCAATTAATGCTCATCAGATGAGCTCTGGTGCATCTCAGCAGGGCCTGTGCCCTGTCGACCGGGGAGCATTTGCTGTTATAACAGAGGGAATTGTTCCGCCAGTCTGTCATTGTGCTGCTTGCTGTAGCCTGAGTGGATTGAGAGCTGCGTTTGTCTGAGGCGCTTAACCTAAGTCACAGAAATGGCTGACGGTGCGGCCCTGGAGCGGCAGTGACTGAGCACCATGTCGGCTTGTTTACTCCTAGGGTCCGGCTGAAGCTCTTCCGCACGAGTACCATGGGCTGGGGGGTGCAGACGCTGCAGGATATCCCCCAGGGAACCTTCGTGTGCGAGTGAGTCTCCATCGGGCTCCGCCGTGTTGAATGTGCTGAACCACTTGGAATCGCAGCTTCTGACAACTTCAGATGATGAGATGGAAATTATCACATCTGAGTCTGTATTTTGTCTTTTGGGAGTTTGCTTTGAAGGAGAATTTTTAGTAGTTTATTTGAAGACCTCGTAGATAAGAGGAGTAACAGATGCATGTGTCTGTGTTCGAATTAAAATCCAAGGATTTACTGACGAAGTTAGCATTTTACATCACTATTATACATGATTGTCATGGTTACATTTCAGTACATCCTCTTCAGTCTCTTCCTGCTACCTGGTATCCAAGACTAGCATCTTGATTTTTTTGCATTTTCATTGCAGAGTGATTTACATTGATAGTATCATTGATAGCATTGTGCTGTTTTTGTTGCGTTTAGGTATGTGGGAGAGATCATTTCTGATGCTGAAGCTGATGTCAGGGAAGATGACTCGTACTTGTTCAACCTGGACAATAAGGTACTTATCTTTTTTGGGGGGGGGGATGTTCTTAAGCCCATACTTCCAGCTAACCAGCCTGTGGCCCCATATTACATCATTTACCTTACTACGTGGAGTAGAAGTGCCTGCCAAATAAACACAGCTGTCATGCAGCAGAGATGATTTTTTTTTCATACAGACTGTCAAAATATGTTTAAAGGGTAGTTTTAGGCATGAGCAATTTTTGGTGTTTTCTAACTTCCAGGTAGGTAACTCGGCAACAATTTAGTCTTCACCTTTTGAATGACATTTTATTGTTTAGCTCACTTCGGGGCCTTTAAATTGGTTTACGCTCTGCCCTTGTTCTCCTGTTCCTTCAGATAGCAAGACTTATTGATTAGGCTGAAGTACCTCACTTTTCTGTTTCTGTTTGCACCCGTTTCCTGAGAGTGTTGGTCCGGCTGGAAATACCGGAGAATCCCAGACCTGTCCATGGCTTGCTTTGTAGCACTCTGACGAGAGTGGGCTGTACAGATTGCGCTTCTCTTGCTTCTGTAGTGCAGGTAGCAGGTGTTTGGTCCTTTTTAATAAAAGCTCTTATTTGAGAAATAAATGGTCTTAAGACTTTTTTTCCTGAAATGTACATCAGAAGCTTTTCACAAAATAGTCAACTCTCTTTATTTGCCTACGGGAACTAAAATGCTTTATTCAATGTAATGCAAGGGATGTAACCTCTTAACCCTTGTGAAAGTAACAGCAGAGCTTTGTTTACTTTGAGTTTCCCATCTCTCCTGGCATCGCTCCTGGTTTCTGACTGGCTTATTTATCTGTTGCTCTTGCTGCAAGCCCTGCACAGCAAATAGCTCTCCTGTAACACACAGTCGTGGTGATAAAGTATGTTAACAAAGCTTTCCCTGTGAGAGGCTCGTATGCATGATTTGGCCGTGTCAGCACTTTGCTGCTGCCCGGTGCTTTTTCAGCCAAACTTTATAGCTCACAAAGGTTTTTGAAGTATTGCCTTTCTGTTTTTTCAAGTGTTACTTTGAAGTTCTTAAAGAAATATCTGGAATGTTACGTTGGAGATACGGTTTTGCTTTGCTGCATAGACATAAGTATTCAGGCTGAAGCTATCTGGTAAAACATGTATAGGGTGACCTTTATCATATCTTGAATAATAGCCATGCTGAGGTAGCTGGTTGGCTTGGTCGTTCCCTGTGACAGCCCATATTTGTCAAAACCCTACCAGAAAGCAACTCAGTGTATCTTCGGAAGGTCTGCTTCATAAAAGCTGAGGCTGTGGGTTGTTTCGGTCCTGGAGGTAGATCTTGAATCTCCACAGTTCGTACTCTCACTTACCTAGCCGTTGCCCTCGCAGGTAGGCGACGTCTACTGTGTCGATGCCCGATTCTACGGCAACATCAGCAGATTCATCAACCACATGTGCGAGCCAAACTTGTTTCCTGTGCGAGTGTTCACCACGCACCAGGATCTCCGCTTCCCGCACATTGCATTCTTCGCGAGCAAGAACATCAGTGCCGGAGATGAGCTGGGGTAAGGCCTCTCTTCCAAACACCAGGTGACAGAAGCCATTTTCACTGGATCTGTACTGAAATATTTCTCAGGTTTATTGGATGCCAAAGGGATGGTGTGTGGATCCATGCCCATGATCGGAAGGTTGCCAGTTCAAATTTCTTGACTGGCAGAGAGACTTCACCTTGGATCTCATGAGCAAGGCCCTAACCCCAACTGCTTCAGGGACCCTGGCTAACCCTAACCCTAAACCTAACCCTAACCCTACTCTCTGATCTTCACTTGCATGTCGATTTGAACAAAAGCATCTGCTAACTAAATACATGTAATTAGTGTAATGTAATGAATATACCTGAATTATTGGCCACAGATGACACACACAATTCTCTGTGTTTTCCTTAGTTTTGACTACGGTAATCACTTCTGGGAGATCAAGAGCAAGTACTTTGCCTGCCAGTGCTCTTCGCCGAAATGCAGACACTCAGCAGCCGCTATCGCCCAAAGACAAGCGGACGGCAGGTCCGGGAGCCGGCCGGCCGGTGCAGTGCCTGACACCAGCTCCTCCACTGCCCCCTCCAGCCCTTGCTGAGGGTCCCCATATCCTGCAGTGTGAAGCAGGAGTCGCACCGAAGCCCAAACAAGTCCCACTGCGGGTCTGGCTGTCTAACCTGGGCCATGACAGACTTGAGACTTCTGAACTTCTCTGGTCCTGATCGCAGTTCATTTGTTTCCCCGCCAACGGAGACAAGACTTGGGAACAAAGCACTGCGCTTGATTACTTATTAGAGGAGGAATTATAGCATAATGCTTTATTCATTAGCATTCCTGGTGGAAACTTCTGGATGGAAAAGAGGGTACATCTATTTTTATTAGTGTGTGTATATATATATTTTTTAACGCAGTAGGTTTTGTTTTGTTTTAAAAACTTCATAGCCACCCCAGTTTTCAAGCTTTCCTAAGCATCGATTTCATTGGTGGAAATGACATGAAGCATTTGATCACTCCCTCCCATATTTCTGTGGCTTCTTGTATAAATACTGATAGTATTTATGGCAGACATTATATGATCACTTGCATATCCGATCTGCCTGCAATTACAGGTAAAGCCATCACCTTACACATGCTCGTGCATTGTGGGTAGAAAAATGGAGAATACTTCGCACATGCCAGTGAAGGTGGCGCCGTTTAGCATGTCAGACTATCTGCTTGCAGGTGTGGTTGACTGTTACTAGCACAGAACTGTATAAAACGACAGGATCAGACAAGCACTCTCTCAAATATGAAACTAAAGGTTTAAAAAGGCACATGAGATTAGGGTCATGAAACCAGTTTTCCTGGAAGTTGAATATGAAAAGATATCGGAGCTGACAGTGTTGTGTATTTTTAATACTGGTCTAGCATTCAGGCTGTAAGAGGAGCTCTTTTTTACGTTTCAATTTACTGCCAGTTTTCTAATATAGTGTCAGCATCCATTTTACATAATTTTATGTTTTTGGCAAGCCAGACTATTTCCAGAATAATTTTATTTTGGTTAGTGTGTTTTCCATGTGCATACAGCTACGTTTTATTGTCATGTACTTCAGGGGAGTAAAGTATAATTCATGCCATTGGCTGTATCTTTCATTTTTCAATAAATTTGCTACTCTGAAGCATGCAGGATGGTTTCCTTATCCTCAGTGCTGTGACTGACATTTTTAGCAAGACAGGTTTGGCTGCCTGGCTGGTGGGTGAGCTTGGCATTTATTGATGGGCAAATGAAGATTCATGAACCGTTTGCTGTATTTTCTGACCGCACTAGATGACGCTCTCTGTTCATGAAAGGACTAAGCAAACCAAGAGCACCATCTACTGGGGTCAAAAAATACAACAAATGGTTCATGAAGCCTCGTTTGCCCATCACTACTTGACATGCATTGTAGTATCAGTGTCTTTTGTGTGCTGGAACCTAGCTGCCTTTTGGGGGAGGGGTGTATGGTATTAAATGTCATTTTTCAGGTTATATGCATCCCATTGGGCTAAATATGTAAATAAATCCTATGCTGGTTCTCCACCCCCTTTTTACCCTATAAAACAACTTAATATTTTGCTTGTATATTTGACGTTAACTACCCCTTAGTATGGGTATTGCCACAAATAATTTTACCAAGCAGCCGATGACCCATGTCGATGATCCTTTACAGGTTAAATTAGGCATGCGGTTCCTTTCATTTTCACTCAGGTATATTCTTCACTTTAAATCCCTGATTTTATGTATATATATACATACACACACACACACACACACACACACACACACACATACACAGAGTCAGGACCATAAATATTTGGACAGACAGAGTTTTTCAATTTTTAAGTTCTGTACATTGCCACGATAAATTTTTATA